GGGTGCTGTAAGCATGTCCATCCCTTTATTGAATTTTCCTAAATTTGTCTTTTCAGTTCGCTTTTCATTTTGGATTTATTTAATAATTTGTGGCTGTTTCATTCTTTTTATTATATTAATTTTTTTTCTCATCTGTTGTTAATTTTTTTTATTTTTTTTCTAGTGTGTTGACTTTCGCATGTTTGTTATGCACATTTTCTGTTTTGCTCTTGTCCGTTGATTCTCACTGTATGTGGCCTGCCGTGCACTTTTGTCTTTATAAGTTTGTGATGTTCTCTTGATAGGCAGTTTTTTATTCTGAGAGTTTTTTGTGCTGTCTTAATGCCTCTTTTTGTGTGTATTGATGTGTGTCTCAGAGGGTGCTTTTCCATGGCCTGGGTTGTGGAGTGTGCTGCTTGGTCTGTGTACTAGGCGAGGAGCCCCTGCGTTTCTGTTAGCGGCCGTGCCATGGTCTGGAACGCCCACTGCAAGATCCCATCCCACATGCTCTGTGGGACAGCCCCAATCATTTTCTCTTCCTATCCCACAGCCTTCCCCTCTTTCCACGCACATGCTGCCTGACCCACAGTTCCATGTCACCCTGTGGGCTGCACCAGAGACATGGTCCCTTTTTTATAGAATCTGCCTCTTGGTGTCACACAGAGTCTTACCTCACCTAGCAGAACATCGAGCTCCTCCCGGCTCAGCACAGGGTCAGTGCCAAGGGCTCCATCTTCTGCCTGTGTATGGAGAGATGTCCTGTGAGCTCCCTTGCTGCCCTCAGCCTGCTCACCTTTTAGTCACCTAGTGTAGGCCCAGCTCATGCTCCCCCATTACAGCTTCACTAAATTGCCTCCATGTGGTGTAGGTAGGTAGGTCACTCTGCCTGACCTACCTCTACCTTCCTGCTCCCCTAAGGCCCCACTTTTCCTCTCCCACCCCATTCCTGGCACTTCTTGTGCTGACCTTGGCTGCTGGAAGCAGTTGGTCTCCAGCTGCTGCGGTAGTGCCCAGACTATCTGTGTCCAGGGTGCCCGTGCAGGACGTGCACAGCTGTAGCCCCCTATACCATCAGATGTGATACAGACCAGTCAGGGCTGAACCTCCCAGGGAGGAACTAAGGCTGGGATGTGGGGCGTGATGGGGAACTCACCTGGGGTCCCCACTGGGAGCAGGACAGTGGTGGGGAGTGAGGATCCGGGTGCAGCAGCGGCTGCAGACACTCCCCTCCACTCCACCCGGCTGGGTGTCCCGTGCCGCCTCCCCCAGGACCTCAGCGGGTCTCTCCACAGGCAAGTCTGCCTCCAGCAGCTGGCCTGGCTCAGTCACTTTCTCCACACAGGAGCCACATCGCCATGTGCCGCTGCACAGCGCGAGCAGAGCAGTGAGGGCCGGCAGGGGCACTGGCATCCCTGTGTACCCTGGCACTCACCTGGGGACGTGAGGCAGCGGGGGCACCAGGCAGGCAAGGTGAAAGGCCCTGGGGCAGCCGTCACAGCAGATGAGCTCACCGCCATCACCGCATGCTGCACACTCATCCTCATTCTCCTGTTCCCGGGAGAGTGGGCAGGGGGTCATTGCCACCCTCATGGGCTGAAGCCATAGCTGTAGCAAGGTCTTTCACCCCCCCTTGCTCTCTCCCCCTCCATCACCCACCCTGCATTAAATACACCAATCCTTTCAGGGGTGGTAAAATAGCCTGTTTCTTGGGGGTAGTAACATGGTGCACCCCCAGTAGCTGAGCCCTGTTTCCTTTCCAAGGCCAGGGCAAATGGACATGCCAGGGAAACCACAACAGTTCCTCCTGAGGGTGCACCAGGTGTCACACCCAGGGCTCACCTGGTGGGGCACAAGGTCCTGGCTGTAGACAGTGGCTGCTTGCAGCTGGCCCTGGGGGTGCAATTGGGGTTCCCTGTTCTGTTGTGAGACAAAAAGGGGTTTGGAGAGGCACTGCTTGCACTGGGGGACACCCCCAGGCCATGGCTATGATGCCATGCAGGAAGAACCCCCTGCCACAGCCTTGACAGCTGCACAAGATGGGGGTGAAAACATCTGAGGGGGGCGTCCACACTTTGGCATACCTTGGGCTGGGCAGGGGGCTTCAGGCTGTGGCTTCTGCTCCTGGCCTCTGGCTCCTCGCAGGCAGTTGGGGTATATGGCTTGTCACCAGCTCTGCTGCCTGTCTTGGAGTGGCCTGCAAAAGAGGCCAGAGGCAGCTCCAGCTCCCCTTCCTGAGGGTGACTCCTGAATTTGGGGACTAAAAAGGGCAGGAGGTGGCTGGGCTGGGCTGTACTTACTTGGATCCAGCACATGTTTCATGAGGATGCCCTCGATGGCCCCACGGCTGACAGGCACCTCACCACCTGCCACAGCCACCGCTCTCTGCACCGAGGCAGCCACTGCCTGGAGAGCTGCGGGCAGGGCAGCGGCTCAGTGGGGTGGGCAAACAGGGAACACAGGCAGAGGCTGCCCTGGGGGTTTTGGCACTCACCACTGGCACGAGAGGTGCGGGGGTTATCTGTGCCCTCCGGCTTCTTCACAGTCTTTGCCTTCACCAGGGGCCCTGCAGCATCGTGAGGATGGGCATCAGGGGACACCCACAATACCTCAGGGGCAGCACCCCGCCCCATCTCCATCCTGCTCTGGGTCTCCATACCAGGACTGGCATTGTGCCGTGGAGCAGGCTGTGCCACCCGGGCCTTGTCCCGCTCCTCAGGGGCTTTCCTCTTGCCTTGGGGTCTGTGTGGGGCCGGTGCTGTGGGGCTCGGGGAGAGACGCCTTCCACGGCGCTGCCGCCCCAGCTCCACCTCTGCAAGAAGAAAAGGGACTGGGACAGGCAGCAGCACCCTGGCTGTCACCCCTGCCCCTGTCAGCCCCCGGGGGTGCCAGTCCCACCTGACCCCCTACTACCTCTGGGGAAGGCGCCGCGGAGAGGCCGGAGCCGGGAGTACCGCTCCAGGTTGTAGTCCTTGAAGAGGACGGCCCAGAAGTCTCGGACGGCGGCAGGGTCGCGGCCCAGCAGCCAGGTGAGCAGCGCGTGGAACGCGCGGTGGGAGCCCTCCCGCTCCGTGCGGCTCAGCGTCTCCTGCCGGGCACACCACCGCCCACGGGCTGCCCTCCGCCCTCCGGCACCAGCCCCCACAGCGCGGCCGGCCTGGCCTGCTCCGCAGCCTCACCTTGAAGATGTGGTCAGGGACGACATCGTGGTCAGCCAGGCCATGCAGCAGCGGGAAGACGTCGTCCACTGCCATGGCGATCTCGGTGCGGTGCAGCTTCAGCAGGCGGCGCAGGTCCCCGTCGCTGCCCGGGCCCGCCATGCCCGGGAACACGGCCCGCAGCCGCCCGTGCACTCCCCTTTAATACACCTTGGCCGCGGCACCAGAAACCTCATTGGACTCCCGCAGCCCCACTCATTTCTGTACGAGGCCGTAACCTGAGCCCGTTCCTCCCGCGGGGGCGGCGGTGCTGGGTTTATCCCCACGCCCCAGCCCCGGGCTTGAGGTCAGGCACTTCCCCAGCCCCGGGCGGCAGCAGCCAGCGTGGGGTCGGCTGTGCCGCTGGTGAAGGACACCCAACCCGGCTAGACCATCCCGGGGTGACCAGGGAGAGGGGGTCAGTGAAGTTCTGGCGAGGGACTCCCACCTCTCTCCTATCTGCGGTCACCCAGGCGTCTCCCAAAATTTCTGGACTTTCCACAGGACCTGTTTCTCTCATCCAGAAACTCAGCTGCAGGAGCATGTGGGAAGTAGGCACCCAACAGTTTGGGGGTGTGACGGCAACGAGAGTCAGGGTGCCTTTGAGTGTGTCTTCCCCCCACACTGCCCACTTCCCTTCCCAGCACCTCTCACCAACAGTGTGGTCTGTCTCAAGATAGAAACACAGGGTACTGCAGGAGGAACTGTCTGGGTGCTCGCATAATGAATGCATTCCAGAGACAGAGGAGCCAAGATGTGAGTGATTTAGGGGCACACTGGCCTGCAAAAGCATACAAAATGCTGCTGGAGGCTGGGCCAATTAAGCAAACTGCTCTCCTGCAGGTAGCTTCTGTGAGGCAGCAGTAAGTGCTGACACACAAAGAAACTCCACAGAAGATGTGTTGGGGTACCATTGAGGATGTGAACAAGCAAACATCTCGCCAGGGCCATAGCAGTGCCACGAGTGTGCCCAGGGAATACCTGGGCAGGTGCAGCCCACACCTCTGTCAATACCCAGTTCCCAAAACTGAGCGTAAGAGCTGCAAGAAGCTTGGAGACAGGGAGAAGCTGGCTCCTTGAAAGCATCTGGCATAGAAAAGTCTGGGAGTCCGGCTGCTCTCTACCAGGTAGCTGAGAAAGAGAAAGCTCAACAGCTCCTACCCCAACTCCCAGACATTTGGATTTCCCCAGGATCAATTTCTAGCCTCCCTCACTCTGAAGGTGTATCTGGGCTGTGCAGGAGGCTCTGCCAGGGGTGCTCTGGCTGTCCTGAGGCCCCTGACCTGAGCAGGACTGGAGCGCGGTGCAAGACGGGACACTGCTGGACAGCACAAGAGGATACAGGGAGGAACTTTAACTGCTATGTCTTAAAAGAATGGAGCAGTATCTACTGGTTCCAAAGCTGTGCCAGGAGGAAGCATCTGCTGTCAAGAAACTCAGGAAGAATAACAAGACAACACCCTTGGCGAGAGCAGGAAATACCCTTGCACGTGTCTGGTTAATAAATTAATGTGGTTGCCTTTGGAAAAGCTCGCCCTGCAGCTCCTTTCAGCATTCAGGGGGATTTTTCCTGTGGAGGCAGTGAGAGCCATAGGATGGGGGTAGGGCAGCTGTCATGCCGGGTTCCCGTGCCCCACACCACGATTTCTGTGCCTAGCTAGCTCTGCCACAGTGGGGATGGCTTCACCACCACCTGTGCCATGCATCCCCCTGCTCCCCGCCTCCGTGGCAAAAAACGTGGCTGTCGGGTGACACAGGAGGTTCATCTCCCCTCCTGGAGCTCTCTGCTGAAGCCCGGCCACTGGCGCTGAGCACAAGCACAGTTGTGACACAGCCTCACACGTCTGCTCCACTCTTCCCAGGAACAGTTTTCCCCAGTATCGCACAGGCAGTGCCACAATTTATCACTGTCACCCTGTGTTAAGCTGTCTGGCATAGCTGGTCTAGGATGAGGCTCTGGCACTTCCCCCTGCCTGCCCAGCTCCCTCGTGGGGATACACTGCCCAACACTCCATGAGCCATATGCCCACAGAGTTGGGCTTGGACTTGTTTTAAATTCCAGCTTTGTGACTCTTTCTGTGCTGAGTCACAGACGTTGTTTTCCACATCCAGCCCGCTCACTAGTGCCATGATTTGCATTTTCGGTTGTTTTTTTTTGTGTTCCTTCCCCTTTCTGAGAGGGGCAGGAGGCAGAGCACTGGCCACAAGAGGCACATCCATCCTGGGAAATCAGGCGGGTGTTTCAGTATAACCTCACTCTGGCCAGCCTGGGCAGCTCTAAGGAAATTGTAAAGGCTGCAAAAAGGCAACTTTTGCCTGAGGCTGGCATGTGCCCTGCCTGGCTGTCAGGGCCCCAGGCTGGGATGCATGGCTTTCAGGATGCCCTCTCCTTTCTATTGCTCCCCCAGCAGAAACCAGGACTCAAGGGGCAAAGGTTGACAATGTTCCTGCCCAAATACCCACTAAAATCAGTGACTCAGCATCCAGCACAAGTATTTGTAGCCCTTGGGATGCATCTCGATTCCCTCCTGCAAAAGCTGTTGATGCAAACACGCCCCTTCCACCATTTCCTATTTCCCTTTCTTGCTGAAGTCCTGTGGTGTAAACCATTGCTGTGTCTCTCTTGGACACAACTGCCCCTCACTCATCTCAAACAACATCCCTGAACCACAGGCAGGAGAGAACAGGCATCAGTGGAGCACTCATGAATGGGATCACACCAGGAAGGCAGGGAGGCCCCACCTCAGTCTCTGATGCCAATCCCACCACACCTGAGGAACACAGAGTCCTCATGGAACACTGCCACTGTGTGCAGAGATTTTATTCCTCTCCCCTTACCTTCAGCTGCTCCAGGTTCCAGCATCTTTGAAAAAAAGGGCTTCATGTGGGCCCCTGTGCCAGATTCCCATTTCATGCAGCTTCCCTACCACCACCCCACACAGTCTGGACAGGAGCAGCTCCACCTGCATGCATCCCAGCTGCCCCTGCAAGGATCTGGGAGGGAGAGCTGAAGCAGAGAAGATTTACTTTAGCTTCAGTTTCCTCTTTCCTCCCCCTTTAGAAAGAAGAAACAAAAGCCCAGAGGTATGTTATATTAATTTATTTGGGACACACCAAAAAGGAAAGTCAACAACTGTTAAGGTACAAAAGTACAGAATCCTGGGACAAGATTTACTGTCCTGATTAAAAAGGCACCATGGTCCCAAAGAAGAGTAATCAGAATACCAGAATACACGATTTAGAAATTTTCCCCCTGTTGCAGCAGAAAAAGAGCCAGGCTTTGGCTCTATCCACAGTCAAACCCAGTTAAAAAAAACCCAAATATGATTTTAACGTGATAAACTCTGCTCAGCCTGTACAGGATGTCGTGAAAAGAATCACAGCCTAGGAGTTGGTCAGATTTTTTGTCTTATGTCGAAACAGTGAAGGTGATTAATCACTAAATAGGTAACAAGGAGGACAGCAGAATGCTGACACCTGCAGCTTGACTTTCTGTCAGACACATCAGTTCAACTGAGACCAGCAGGCTGAGTGTGGGGCTTCTGAATGAAATGTAATTCCCTGTGGTAGACAGGAAGTCAAATTTGACAACCTTAAATTCCCTGAATCCCTGAAAATCATAAAGCACTATACAGCTGTGTTCCATATCCGAGCCAACCCAAATGGATTTGCTTTTCACACAAGCATTTATACTTCAGCTATATCTGTAATAAAAAGGGGGCTTACAGCAGTTATTAAAAAACTTCTACTTTGGCGAGGTCCGAGCTTGGCTATATTCCCTGCTGAAACAGAGCTGCTGGTGTAGAGACCCAGTGAGAGGCTCAATCCAGCACCTCCAGGCTGGAAGGCAAATAGTTTAAACGTGACATAATTTGCATGGGGAGGTCAGTGAAGCATGTCAGAGGAGATGGAGGGAGGCTGCGAAGCCTCAGGCAGAGGAGTCTCAAGGGTGCTGCTACCAAACCTGTAAAACTACGAGTGGTGCAGAGCACACGGCGGGCACTAAATACTTTGGAGCGACTTACCATGAAGAGTTTGTCAGAGACACAGAGCAAGGACCTCAGCAGTAAGGAGCACAGTCCCTGAGAAGGGACACGCAACTCACAGCCAGGCAGATCTGTGCCAGGTAGCCCAGGCTGGAGCCTGCCTGGGCAGCCCAGCCGGGGCCGCTGTGTCCCAGGAGACCAGCAGCTGCTCTGTGTTTCATTCCTCCTTTGGCACAAGACTTCAAAGCAGTCTGAAGACTGATTCATCAAAAGTAAATGAACTGTCAAAATTATTCGTACATGCATTTATTGTTAAAGGGAGCAAAAGCCAAAGAATGAAAGAGCACGAGTTAACGTCAGTAAATGATGTGCAGGACGGAGAGGAAAGAAACGGGGAAAAGCTGAGATACTGGAGTGGGGAAACCAACATTCACACTGGAAGGTAAATTTTAAAACCAGGCAAGTTTGCGCTCTTTCTACCACAGATCTTTTGTGGACAAATAAGAGACTTGGGGGTTTTCCATTTTCAGTGTGGTCTGGCAAGGTTTGGGCATCTCACCAGAGAGATCTCCAGCACTGGGTTTCACTGGAAGTTCAAGTCTCTTACCTTTAAAAACCAGTATAAAGCAACTCTTAACTAAAAAAGTTACAGATATGTCACTGCTCAGGATGTACGTGGGCGAGAGGGTCACGCTTTGTTCAAACAACCTCCGGGTGGAAAACTACCATCTCCCCCCGTGCTGGTCTACATACACCACCTCGGGGGTGGAAGAGCAAGCCCAGATCTGGGTGCCTGCTGCTGTGAACACCACAGCTACACCTGGGAAGGCTTATTCTTCCCTATGTCCTAAAAAGGCAGTATAACAGTTTATAAAATTACTCTCATCTTAAAACTAAATAATGCAATTTGCATTTTCTCCTATGTTAACCCCCTCCCCTGAAAGATAAAACATTACCACTTCATTTAGAATTCACACCCCAGATCCTAGATTAGGGACTTCACGATAAAACTCATCCAGTTATGGGAAGGTTTATCCTGATCAAGGAAACGTTGGTAAAATAGAATCTAGAATGAAACATTCAGAATCACCAATGCTTTAACAGCCAAAGCACTCCACTGTCTTCTGCTCCCTGCCT